AACATATATAGATAACTCCACCTCCCTTTCTGTTCCTTCTATTCTCCTTGAACAAGTAGACCCATCTTTCCCAAACTGGGGCCCTCCAGGTTTTGGACTACATCTCCCAGCACTCCTGAGCATGGCTGGGTTCAGGAAAGGGTTAATATGGGTTGAACGCAGGTTGCTATTGAATTGTGGGTTGTTCTTGAAACATGGGTTACCTTGTCATCTGAACCCATGCTTTATTAATAACACAAGAAAACCCATGATTTGTTGTTGGGTTGTGAATTGTGGGTTTGTGATCTCAGTTGGGTTCAGATAATATAACCTACATTTCAACAACAACCCATATGCCACCCTCAAATGTATGTTATCATGTTGTCTGAACCCAGTCTGTGAGTCATGCTGCCAGTCCCAAGCATCTGAGGATATCTGTCTGGGGTGTAGACAAAACTGAGCGAAATGGACTTGGTAGAAGGCCTGAGCTGATATAAGGCAGCATCAAAGCTGTTTTGAAGGAGATGGATTGGACGGAAAAGCTGAAGGCTGCAATCCTATGCAGCTGAGGATGGGGTTTGGTGCTTGAGCAAATGACCAGGTGATGTCGGTTAGGCTTGTCAACAGTTCTTGTTGAAAGAATCTCCAACTTTATGGGATGGTTTCAGGTTTCAGTATTAGGGGAGATATTCTCCCTTAACTATAATCTGAGCAGCATGTTAAAAATGTGTGACTGAATATTTAGAGCATTTCCTTTAGAAATCAGGATTGACTCATTTTTAATGCTTGGAGTGCTGCTGCTGCTACTAACTATTAGGAATGCAGAAGTGGTTCCTTTAAAACATCTTATTTTTTATTGTGGATTTCAATATTAAAACCAAAACCCAAATAAAACAAGAGGGGAAATTAAACTAAACTAAAACATTGTATCTTCTTACAAGAGATTTAATTAAATCTGTTATACATTATAATTTATACTTATATACTATGCATCCCTATATATTTTATGTATAGCAAGATATACTATAATACTATTATAGGTGTGAATAGATTTCCACAAAGGCAGCCCAAATATCCATTTGTAAATTGCACCAGAAAATCATTCAAAAATTGAAAGTCTCATCAAGTTTTCCATCCATTCTGTTATCCTTCAAGTGTTGTGGTATTAGTCTTTTAGCTGTCAAAAGAGCATAGAAAAGCCATTTACACTGACCTTACATTAAGTTCCAAGAGGTAGGCTTATCCATAGATATTAAAGAACATTCCATTACAAAATCTATCTGAATTATTGGGCACTGGCAAAACAGTTGAGTAAAAGAAGCAAGCCCACCACCATCAATTTCATTTCTATACTGCCCCATAGCTGTAGCTCTCTGGCGGGTTTACAATAATGTGCAAAACTAAACAATAACATAAAATACAAATACCAGAAAATTTTAAAATAGCTAAAAACATGCAGTAAAAAAGACCCAACAAAGGAAAAGAATCACCTGGGTAATCTCCTCAGACCCCTCGATAACTAAGGAGATCTTTTAAGGCCTCCGCATAAAGAGCTGTCTTGACCTGGTGCTTAAAAGATGGCAAGTTTGGCACCAGGTGGGCCACAGCTGGGAAGCTGTTCTAAAGATGGGGGGCCACCACTGAGAAGGTTCTCCCCTTTGGGGCCACCATCCAAGCCTCCCATGTGGTTGGCACTCAGAGCAAAGTGTGGTTGTAGTTGGGAGAAACTTTCTGACAGGTACTGCAGTCCCAAGATGTATAAGTTGTATTGTACTTCTAATAGTAAGTAACCTATTATTGAAAAGATGTTGTTGCATCCAATATTTCCATAACATCAATTTTTGCTGAATTAAATATAATCTGAGGTCTGTTACTGCTTCTGAAATAGATGCTTACAAAGCACCCCAATGATTGGACAAAACTCTGAGGGAGAAATTAAGGGAGCCAAATACTCCAGTTCATTATTTCTGTCTTGCTTAAGACCCAATGGATCATATTCAATCACTGATGATAAATATTTATACATCTGGACTGTGGGCTGATGAAGCTGTTCAGCCTGATCAATCTTCCCAGTAACAAGGGGAGCTCTGAAGCTGTAAATGTAGCAGGGGCAACCTTGGTTCTACCAAATGATTCATTTGCATACATTGCCATTCAGCTGTAGCTGGCAAAGCATAGTTAGCAAGCAAAATAGAAAATGTCGGGAAGTTTTCATCAGGACCTACAAGCTGATCCAAAGACTGTCCATCCAAACATTTTATTGCTGATCTTTAAGTTCAGATTTCCCAACAGAATTAATTTTGCATTTGAAAGTGAATCAAACAGCAATGGACATGAACCTATGCACCCGACCTTTCTCACAGCTGTCTGTGTAGGTGGTACACTATTTATTTTGGTACACCAAAAGCCCAAGGTGATGCATTTAGGGAGAGGATCCAAGCATGAAGATTCCAAAATCAACAAGGGAGTAAAGTCAAATCTGTGTGGAAAATGCCAACAAGTCAACAAGTGCCAACAAGTCAACAAATGATATAAAGAAACGATTGAGGGAGCCAAAAATTGAAAATATGCCCCTTTTCAATCAAAACTTGCATCATTTTCAAGAATACCTGTGATGGAATGGGACTCCATAGGAAATTACAAAATGTATTGCATTTTGGAAAATACTGCTAGTTATAAAAAGAGAAATACCACATAAAGCATAGACAGTTTAAGGTATTACAGTTATATTAGTATATTTACTGTGTCCCATAAACTTAATTTTAAGGTTGTCCATCTATCAATGTATCTGTAGGAACAAGCATTCCCTAGTAAGTAATAAACTTTGGGCAGTGCCAGTTAACTTGCTCAGGATGGGGTATAATATCTCCAGTTAACATCAGTTCAGATATTGACCAGTTAATAAATAGCCAGATAAAGATCTGAAATTATTAATCATCCATATCAAAGCTAGATAGGTGACTGGAATGCCAAGATAAACCACAGAGAACCACCAGCATAAAGAAAAGGTTTAAAAGGTTTAAATTCTATACAATGTGCAAATCTGTGAATATTAACATTTTATTTGGGTAGCAGTATTTCAAACATACGTATCAGTGGAGAGGGTAGACACCTGAGAGTGTCTGTATCTCTCTCAAGTTAAAATCAGACAAACCCCCTCTGGTCCTGATGCCAGTTCTTGGGGCTAAATGTAGCAATTCAACCCATTTCTGAAATGTGCAGGAAAGCCAATGGTTCTCAGTGCAGCAAAAATGGTTTCCCAACAATTAGTTCTGTAAGATGTTCTAATATTGGGGTGGGGGGGGAACCCCTCTCCCGCCACAATTTCCCTGGACTGTAATCTGAGCAGTATGCTAAAAACCACGCACATGTAAATATTCAGAGTATTTCTTCTTTCAAATCAAGATTGGCTGGTTTTTATTTGTTTTCTGGGAGGGGTAGTCGTGCTGTAAAATATTAGGAATGTAGAAGTGATTCTAAAGCATGCAAAGGTAGAATCAGGAGTGAGAAAATAAATGTTAGTTTTGGGCTTCACAGTTGAAGTGACACACATGGCCATCTAAAGAGGGGGGTGTGTGTGTGTGACATGAATGAATTTCACATTTCCCCAAACACCTCCGCTTCAAGTTTAGTCTGGATTTGACTTAGTGCAGTTAAGCTTTCTATTTTTTGGCCATATATTCATTTGCTTCATTTAAAGTGAACAATCGCAAATAGTTTTCCGATTCTGGTAAAATTACAAAAAAAAACTCCTCATCTGACTGCAAAGTGTTTCTGTGAGAGTCTTGAGGAGGAGGATGACTGTCCAACCTTCCAATCCCATGCATGGCTTACACGGACCTAAGTCCCTCTGCAGGGCAGGTATAGTACTACTCTATACATGTCTACTCAGAAGGAAGCCTCAGGGACTTCAGTGACACTTTACTCCAATGTCGGGTTGTCCACTGCAGCGCTCAGTCTGACTCCAGAGTTACTCTTGCTTGGAGTTGATCTACTGAATCAGAGATTCGGAGAACAGTAGAGTTGGAAGGGGCCAAGAAGGCCATCGGGGCCCAACCCCCTGCTGTGGCACGTCACCAATTTACACCATCCCACTTGAAATGTAAGCAAGCCAGCCCCATATATTTCAATGGGTCTAGTCTAAAGAAGACTAACATTAGATACAACCCATGGCTGCTGCTGCTGCTTATTAAAAGGCATTTATATCCCTTCTTTCTTCCTCTTGAAAGGAACCCAAGATGGCTTACACAGTTCTTCTCCTCTCCATTTTATCCTCACAACAACCCTGTGAGGTAGGTTAGGCTGAGGGTCTGTGACTGGCCCGAACTCACCCAGTGCTCCAGGCTGAGCCCGGATCACGTGAGCTCTGGGCCAGCACTTAGAGCCACTCTTACCACACTGGCTCCAAATGAAATGGGATTGCATTCCACTGAACTCAGTGGGACCTACTTCCAAGTAAACCCGTGTGTAGGATCAGGGCTGCAATCCTACAAATGTGCTCTGACATAGGTCTCGGTTCCACTGAACTTGGCAAAGCTTACTTTTGAGTAAACAGACAGGAGAGCTGAAGGCGGGAGGCCAGGCTGCAATTTTTCGAGGTCAGCCTGTCACCTCGGTCCCAGGACGAAATCCCACGGAACCGCCCTGGCAAGCCAAGACAGGGCGCCCATGTTCAGTTCCCCTTCCTCCCGAGGAATCCCACTGCACCGAACGCAACCTAGCCGTCTCTTGCCGTAGCCCTGGGCCACTCCTCGATGCTTGCACTCTAAGTCCCATCAGCCCCAGGCGGCCAAGCCGATGATAAGCGGTGGGGGCTTGCAGGGCAGACAAGCCGGAGCGCCCCAGCCCGGGAAACACCGCGGGCGGGAGCGGCCCGCCCTCAGGAGCCTCCTCCGCGCCGCCCATCTGGGACGAGCCCAAGGAAAGCGGCCGCGGGAAGCTTGCGCTGCCCCGAGGGGGCGGCGGTATTTCGGGTCCTGGGAGTGCCGCGAGCCGAACATTCCCTTCCCAGGCACCCTAACCTTGTGTATCTTCTCCCCGGCGCTGCTGTTTCAAATAATTGCAAGGCAAACACGGAAAGAAACCAAAATAAATACAGGGCGGGCTCGGCCAGCTCGCCAGGGGAGGAATAAAACCCGCGGGCTGGAGCGGGCTGCTCCTCAGGCGGCCCTCCGCGGGGAGCCGTTCGCTTCCTTTCGGCTCTCCGCCGGCGATCTGCGCGCCACCGCCGAGCTTCGGCGGTGGCTGCTGCCTTTGGCCGCTTTCCACGGGCCCGGCTCCTGCCCCGGCGGCCCGAGAGCGCCCCGCGGTCTCCGCGCTTTCCGCAGCCGCTCGAGGCAAAGCAGGAGAGGGGCGGGGGTTGGTGGGTGCGGGTGAAACAGGCTCCCCCATGCGTGCGCCTCCACGCTGGGCGAAGGGGAGCCTGTTGCGTGCCGTCCTTCGCCTGGGGCCATCTAAGGGGCTGGCGGCCACCCTCTTTGTGGGGACAGAAATTGGGGGCAATTTCCCTGGATTATCCAGGGGGAGAAGAAATTCTTCAACAGTTCCTTACTGGCAGGACTCGCTATTAGCAGGGGTTGTAAGCAGTCATCTGGCACAGAAAATGAAGAAAATGTGCAGAAAATTCTGCAAAATGGCCTTTTACTTTGGCGGGCAGGGGGAGGAGAGGAATCCTACCACAGGACTTTTCTGAGAAAATGTAGTCCGAAAATGTTTAGCTCAGCTCACATTGCCAAGCTGCAGGGTTCAAGCACCTTCTCCAGGGCCTTCCAGCCATTACTTTTTTGAGGGATGATTGCGGATGCATCTTGACTGCAGTGCAGGTGCTGATAACACCACACATTCCCTGAAAGCCCTGGAAAAGGGGAGTTAGTTCTCTGGCAAATTGGACCTCTGATTTCCTCTTCCATCTTACTTTTGCATTCTCAAGGCATTTTATAATTTATTTGGAAACAATTAACCATTGATTATGGTGTAAGCTTTCTTAGACGCTGTGCATTTCATCAGATGTGCGAGCTGCAGTACAAGATATACTGTAGTGGAGGAAGAACTGGAGATCATGAAATACATAAAAGTATTAAACCACTTGCCTTTAAGGGTCCCCCTGAATGACTGAACTTTCACCCAGCATTTTTCCCGAAAACAGCCCTCTATAATTTTGAGGATATGGGGAGAGGATTGTGAGCACTGATTCCACATGCCTCTAGATTTTGCAAGCACTTGAAGGGAATGCTAAAAAACAACCACATATATTCCATTTCTGAGTTAAACATACCCATGCATCCTTATCTGTAACTAGCTTTGGGCCAGCTAATCAGGCTCCATCACCATCAGCTAAAGATATTACGGTTACCCTACTTAGCTCTAAATGCTACTGTAGGTTTTATTTTGGGCTGCTTTTGAACATAGTTTGGAAATGCCAATTGATGCACAACATGAGCACCAGAATGCTGATGGAAGCCAGAAAATCTGGTGATATCCCTTTTCCTGGAGTTATGCTGGTTACCAATTTATTTGTGTGTGTTTTTCACTGCTACTGGCTTTTATCTTGGTTACTACTTTGGTTTTATTCCATTTTTAGTTCAAAGAGTTTGTATTATGTTTTACTATGTAATTGGATTTTATGGGTTTAAGCTTTGGCATCTAAACCACCCAGAAAGCTTCATCTAATGGGTGGTATAGAAATATAATGAATCAGTTAGTGAATAAAGTACAGGTGATCACTCACAAAATGTTGTTGGATGCTGATATCACAGCACTTCATGGATGAACTGATTAATATGCTACAAGTCAACTAATTAGTTAAAAGTCAAAAGTCATTTAGGGCAAAACCTTATGGGAGTTCAAAGGCTGAGCCCCCACTGAGCCCCCGTGGTCACCATGGAAAGAACCCACATCTCAAAGGTTGCAACTGGGCCTTGGAGTGAGGATAAAAGCTTGTGCCAGGAGGCAAGTAAAGAGGCTTTTAGGCCTGTGGGCTTAGGATTTTAGGATGGATCCCAATCGTCATAAATGCTAAAAACCATAATTCTCTTTCACAACAACCTATTCCACATATTAGATGGTAAAACTGTTCTTGAACTGTACCACTTCAGTGCGTTGGTCGGGAACCTGCATGATTTATTGTTCCTCCTCCTTGGAATGCAAACTCCATACAAGTCGTAAACTGTCAAGGAAAAGTCTTTCTCCATAATAGAGCTGTTTTGTAGGTACAAGGAAACTCTTCTCCCACTATGGGAACTAGGTCTCCACATGTAACTAGAAATGGAGCAGTCTAAAGACACAATTCTGAAGTAGTGCTCGTAAGTCTCGAAACTTTAGAGGCTCATGCTTATCCAGGGCAGAATCCGAGGAGCAGTGGCAGCAACCCTCCTTTTCCTATCTGCTGCATGTTTGCTAGTTGGCCTTTTTTGGGAGTCTAGCTATGGTCTTTCAGAGACAGAAGGAAGAAGTTGGAGGGGTGTCAGGGTACCTCATATCTTGGCCACCCCAGTCTCCTCCCCTCCCTGCCCCCTTTAACCCCTCTCCTAGGTTGCTTCCCAACCTGGGAGAACAGCTGGTACCTTTTTTTCTGTGCTAGCTTTGTGGGGCTGGGGGAGGGCTTAGAGCTCTGAGCCCCAGCACTGAGGTCATAGCACTGCCTCTGACCTCAAAACTGGGTGCCTCAAATGTCCCAGGGATCCTCAAATGATATCTAAGGGCCATAGGATTGTTCCCTGGAGGAGTTTTGCCATTTCATCTGCCATCAATGGGAACTAAACCAAGATGAACAAATCCTAAATGATCAGAAAAACAATGGCTGCAAATGGACATTTTCATACCTATTGTTCTTTCTGAGAGTTTCTTTTATTGGTCTGAACAAGAACTATAGATCAGCAGATTTAATGAAAATTTCCTTTAGTCAGCTTCCCTGAGCATGTAAAGATGAAATAATAATGCAAATGAGCAGGAGAGTCCTGAGCAGAAGGTGACCGGATCATTCTGTTCTGGCACAGCAACAACTTTGGGAGAATAAATGGATGTGATCTTAGAAGTAATAGATCCATTCATGAGAAGGAAACGTTGCAAATCATTAACTGGAAAAAGTTGGCATTCTGCCGACATTCTGTATGGGCACAAGGGAAGGATGCTCAGTGGTCTGTTAACATCGACTGAAGGCCAAATAGTGTATATAATTTATTTAGATGAAGTGTGAGGCATGTTTGTATTTGTTCTGCAGCTAGCTGTCTCACCTCTGCGTGAACTCCCCAAACCAAGATCTCCTTCGAAGAGTGTAGCTCTCCCTTCTGCACACTTCCTTCCAATGTGTTTGCTTTGGCAACTTGCATGTTCTTACAAGCAACTCGTCCAAGGGCATCAATCACTCTTGCACCCAAAGAGAAATACTGTACACTCAATGCGATGACAAAATGAAACATGTTTGAAGCAAACCATGTGTTCCCATGTGCCAGGGATTATTCTATTTGCTCAAAGAACATGTTCAGAATATTTTAGGCTTCTGTTAGTCCGGTGCTTGTAAATTTTATTGTCTAGCTTTGGAATTCATTAGTTCAGAGACAATAAATAAATGGAAGGGCAAGTTATATGTGTAAAAGTATGTATGGTGAAGTGTTTGATAATTTGAAATTTATTGACCCTTTTAAAGCTTTTTTTCTTTTTTACTACATCCTTTGTTTTGTGATTTTACTAAATCAACAGATTTTTTTTTTCCAGAGGATAGCTTTATTTTATTATTATGGTCTTGGGAACAATCAAAATAAAATTAACTTCACTGGAGAATTTAGCACATTTATCTATCTTCTCTGTACTCAGCTCAAAGTGGAATAGTGTATGAAGCTCCTTCCATGTGTTATGGAATTTGATCCTCTTCCTGGAGCCTATAAGTTATGGTGGAAAGGATCTTTTCAGGCTTAGGAATGTACTTACACCCCCTGTGCAACAGAATGTTGCAGCATGGAGGGTTCCTTTCCAGAACACTCCATTCTATTGCCCCTTCCTGATGCCCCTCTCAGAGTTATTACAGCGTGCCGCTGTGTATGCCCCGTCCTCATGGGGCTGGTTTGGGGTTCTTTCAGTGTCTTTTCCCAAGTGTTCCCCTCTCTCCAAACTTTGGAGATTCAAGCCAGAGAATACTGGGTATGGGCTGACACAGCAAGAACTGAGCTCACTGTTAGCATATGTGATGGTGGCATCCTCTGTTATGACACAGAATATCTCTCACTGCTTGACATTGCAACACATGCTAATGAATGTTCCCTTGACTGGGAGCCACCTGCAGATCCCAAATAGAATCTATTCTATTAGCTGTTTGTGCCACAATTCATCCCTGTATTGAATTGAGGAGTACAGTTCAGAGAATGTAGGTATTCAGACCACTACTTCCCATGGAAGAACTGTTTGTATATATGGCAGTGGGATCCATTTGATGTGGATGTCGCCATTGCACATCCATTGTTCTATGTTCTATCCATTGTATCCATGGCTGTGTTCACACCACACAACAAGCATGGTTGGTTACCATGTATGGTTACCATGGTTCATTTTCTTTATCATGATCTACCCAACAGATGATCAAATGTTGCTTCCATCCACCTTACTCAGTCCTCCAGCTGTTGGCACATATCCCATCAACCACTGCGCCTGAAATTGAGTCCCAAGGTATATCACTCTCTGCCTATGTCACCTGCCTCTTCCTCTTTGGCCCACATTGGATGGCTGCAGTGGCTGCTCTTTTCAGGGGACTCTGTAGTAGTTGCATACCAGGAAACCACAATCCAGGGTTCAGCCACATGGCAAGCCATGGTGGCAAGCAGAAAACATAGAGCAAGCTGTTGTTTCTTAGCATGATTTCTAAAGACCAAACTTACCATGGTGAAATATTATGATTGGCTTTGGACTATATGGCAGACCAACAATGGTAAAAAACCACCATGGCTGGTTGTATTGCCTGAACCTAACCTCTGTGTCTAGCTCCTTGGCATCAAATTACCCCCTAAGATTTTATATAAAACAGAGGCTACCTTTTTGTATCATTGGCTTGATATAGGTCTTCTGTACTTGTTGCCTGAAGGAGACTAATGCTCCAATCAGCTATTGCCAGTTTGACATCATAAAATAATTTCAAGATGACTTCCATACTTGATGCCTCTCATCATCAAATCCTTCCAATCTGGTGTCCTGTAGGGAGGCTAAAATGATTCTGAACCTTCATTCCTGTCCTTGCACTGCAATTTCTTTCCTTAGGTCACTTCTCCTCCCCATGTTTACCTTTGGCCTCACTATTTTCTGCTCTGGTTCTGGCATTTCCTCAGAATACCAAGTATGCAACTCCGGATTTCAGCAGAGAGCAGGTACCACCAAGGAAGTGGCAAGGGAAAGCATCAAGAAGGCAG